AAAACTTGAAATCGCATCATATGACCCCTTTAAATAAATAAATTCTAGAATCATACTTACATCATCATTCTCATTAAAAACAGATGCCAGTCCAGCTTTCTTGGCAGGTAAGGCAGGTGTGGGTTCTTTAGGTTTCTAACAGAGAAGGAATAAAATATAATTTTTAAATGTTAAAAATTTTGAAACTCTTAAAGTATACAAAATAACGCAAACACACATATATAAACACTACTACTTATATATAAATGCATATACACAAAAAAAAAAAAAAAAAATATACATACGCTTGCTCCCAGCTTGATAGAGATTGGCGCAGACTTCTTCGCAGTCATGCTAAACCCCGCTTTAGACATTTTAGGGGGTGCTGGCTTACTTTTAGACTCATCTTCGAGGCCAATCTCATCAGCAGACCGCTTTCGCAGACTGTCCCGTGATGCCGTGCTGGAAGAGACAGTCTTAGTTTTCACACTGCTTCCCTTCTCTTCCGGTCCTGCTGGAGGCGAAACAACTTACCAAGGTGAGCGACTGTTGGCTTGGAGACCAAAGGTGAGCTACAGTTACCTGAAAGATGAGGGATGCCAGGAGGACCTGCTCAGAGAGACGCTGTTGAGCTTAAAATCTAATTGATTAGTTTGATTCATTTGATTAGCACTTGTTGTCTTTAAACAGTCTCAAATGATGCAACATAAAATGCATCTGGCTGCTTTCAGCAACATGTTGAAGCTGAGCAGTGCCATTTTCTACCATTACAAACATTAATATGGCAGTACCACGGTATCAGATGGTAATACCATGATACCATGATACTGAATTATCACCATGACACCTATGTAATTTGCATGGTACTCCAAGGTAGATTCACTACACCATAGTACTTTAGCAGTACTATTGTATAGTGTATAAGCATTACCAAGAATACCACAATGGAAGTATAAAATGGTAATTTGATATACACCATGGTACTGAATTATGTACCACATTATTTACATGATACTTGAATGTACTTCCAAAAATGACCTCCGGTTCTTCTACGGTAGAACCAAGTCCAAAACCCCAAGATACTTTTTCGAGCTTGTGTTAGATTATGGATCAAACCTTTACTAAACAAAACTCCGCTGAACTTAAAATATGCAACAATGCTATGCATTTAGTCATGTTGATTTAAATCCAACATTAGTGTTAAATATTACGCATCTCCATAGAAAACGCAGCATTGAAAAAGCAGCTGGTTAACAGCTAACGAAGCTAACGTTAGCTTGCTAAACTTAGAAAGTCTAAATCTATGTCTATATAGCTTAATACCTACATTCACAAATACAAGCATTATTCTCGAAGGCTTTCAATTGTAAGTTAATTGCAAATTAAATACAGTTTTGACAGTTTCACCTCCTTCTTTAGAGGGGCCTTCGCTGCAGCACTTCACATTCGCCATCCTATGAATCTGCTTCAAGCACGTACGGCTATCGGAGAGGACAAAATATCTCTGCAGTCGCAATAAAAAAAAAAAAAAAAAAAAAAGTCTTTTTTTTTT